GTCTGGAATGATGAAACGATGGCCCCATCATATGATTTTCACAGTCACGGTTTCCGAGCAACCGACGTCTCTTTTTTTGAAATTACCGAAGTCTTACTTCGAAATTTGTTGGCAACCCACAGATGAGGACGTCTGGCAAGTAAAAAAGGGTAGACGAGGGTCTGCGCTTGAACGTCCAGTTTAAATGATGATGAATGACGTCTCAGTTCACCTCAATCCGCATGATTCCTTCGTCCGGAGTGTACCTGAGTCCAAGGATGCGCAAAACCTCACCGGAACTCCGATTCCTTGCTGGGACCCATGGAGTAGGTTAGACGCCGACTACCTGCTCGTAACCGCCAATATGTGTCCCTGTGTCTTCAAGCCTGCGTAAAAAGTGCGGATTTTCTTGAGAGGAAGTGGCGCTTTTTGTTCTTTTCCCTCTGAATAATTCTCTAATATCTGTGTCTTTATTTGGGCTCGGAATCACATTTTTGCGTGCCATTAAATTGGTTTCCGTAATTTTGCTCCCACCCTGTAGTTTTCTTCAATGTTTTTAGGCTCACTGTTCTTACCCAGTTTAACTATTTTCTCTGTATTGTGCAAGTTTTGCTGTAGAGTGAAGTTATCGGTGGAGAACAAAAAAAAGATGAATTGGCTTTTTTGTCCGGAACGTTTGAAAGCTGGGTCCAAAATTCGACTGAGGTTGTGTATTCTCATCATTTGTTTTCTGAGCCCCTCACGACGAATAAAAGGAAAGCCGTCAACTCGTCAGGATATAAAATAATCTGTGAAGGTCACTTGAAATCGCAATACATTTACATAGGAGAAATTTTCACATGTTAACAATCCCTTACGGTCATTTTTAGAGTTTCCACAGCAGAAGACGTAAGAATTGATGGAACATAACGACGCTGTTCCATAGCTGCCAGTAAGAAAATGCACTTGCTGAGACCATTCATTAAGAACAGGGGCGATACTCGCGCTTTCGCATCTAGGCGTATTTTCCCTCCTTGTTTGCATCAGCGGTCGTGGTACCGGAAGAAGAGGGAAGCTTACGATTTAGTAGCTAATACTTTTCGCGCATGCTGCTCTCGTTCTGCTCACGGCAAGGTTGTCTACTAATGTGAGAATAAAGATTGAAAAGATAGGGCTTGACAAATCCGTTTCAGGATGGGCCATGCTATCTTATTCCAAGGCCTTGCTGAATGCGATTTGCCCCATGTGTGCAACGACTTTTGGTTCCCAATACGGCGGAAGCGGGGTAATGAAAAGTGGCGCTCTTACCGCTCATACTGTCGGCGGATCAAATCCTGGCTCGAAACGCCGTTCTGGAAAACATGGAGCTGTTGGAGACGAGTTTCCGCTAAGTAATTCACGAGCGGTCCTCAGATCAGTGCATTTACTTCCTGACTAATCACCCAGCAATTAATCGAACTCGTGGGGGGGGGGTGACTTGCTTGGTAGGTATCAACACAATTCTCGGACCAAGATGTTAACAAGTGTGCTCACTGGCTACTGCGCTTAACATTATTAACCTAATTCCAGGCGATTCCACCAAATGATAAAAGATAAGTCTTCCGCTTCAAACAATCCTGCTCTAGGATGCGCCACGGCCTTTACTTCTATCCAGAATCGTATCGATTTTGGATGAGATTCGGCCTAAATGCATTACGGAAACCTGCTAATTTACAACTCAATCAGTTTTTCATTCCCCCTAACGAGTCTGGTCTCAACTAAACTAGAGTAATGGAATCCATGATTGTGAGTTAGTAATCGAGCCGGGATCGACTCCAAGGTTGTGTGGTGCTTGGAGACCCCACCTAACATTACACGTAGCTCCGTCACAGTTGGAGTAATAAAAGGAAAGGGAGATCGATGGCAATATGAATTTATAAGCTGCGGCTTTTATTTGCATCCTCTGCGAATATTTTAGTTTTGAGGACTATAAGGGACGGATTTCACTACTAGAGAAATTTTGAGCTTCCGTGCTTCGCTCCTATTGTTATTACCATTCACAGGGCTTTTTACAGTGCACTCAGCAATCAGCTGCAAACGTATTTGGGTGTTTTTGGGCCAACATCCGTATGTATTATCACTCACGCGATCCAAATTTAGGCTGCTTCAGCTTCTGAAGTAGTACGTGATTGCCGGCGCCGCCGCCTCTTATCTAAGGCGTCAAGCACGTCAGCAGCGAGGGGAAATTCAATCAAATCGGCACTCGTGCTGACTGAGAGCGTAAAGGGGCGCTAACTCAATACTGTTATTCATAGATGCGGTAGTCGAGCATATAACATACCTTGACCGCTCTTTCGTGTACTGGTTTGGCATGACTTGAAGGCGTCGGATACATACACAGGGGCAAGAAACATGGTTTCTTCCCTGCGGGAATGCGTTGAAAATGCGCTCACCAAACGAAGAGGCCGAAGTGACATGCCTTAACGTCTAATTTCCATCGAAAATTAAACCTTCGAAATTCACACTTGGTGGACAGTTCACGGACACCCAGGCGGAGCTAAAGGTCCACAAAACGGAGTACGGCGTGCGGCTTATGCGTGCGCATACGCATACGTGCGCGACGTAAGGTTTGCTGGCTGATTTTGAACTGGATTTCATCTGAACGCCCAGAGTCTATAATAAACTTGTTCTCTGGAAACCAAATTCACCATTACTTTGATGAAAGTGAGGCAAGGTAGAAAACGTGGACGCTTTTTCTATTATAAAACATGTGTATGTGGTGGCGAGAAAGCCTTTGATCAGTAGGAAGACGGATCTTTTTCTATCTTTACTCTGTTTCGGTTGCCAAGTGAGGATGGAGTATGATCAGGCGTGTGGCGCTAAAGATTCTTAGTATTTTGCTGTTTCCGGGCTAACAGACCTAATGTTGTATAACACATGTAAATGTCGTTTAACATGAAGAGGCAAACAATTTTATTTCTGAAAGAATTCCAAAAGTTCATATAATTTCAAGTATTCCAAAATCCATTAAAAAACCTAAGAAACAGTTCGAAAAGAATTCTTTCGAGATCTACCGCGATATTCCCTTGTATAACATCTTCAGGCATGTGTGCTTCGGCCAAGTATAAAGCATGACGTATTGGGGGGGCATGGAGGGACTTAAGGTACCGACGCTAGAAGATTGGTGGTGGCTACGATTCCGATGCATCAACATTTATGTAAGCCGTACAGGTATCTGGGCGCCCCTGCGCTCCCAAATAGAAGCACAATTAGTGCCACTAAAGGTCGAGTTCCTTATTCTTCCCTGTTTGGACCGAAATATTCACAGTGATGCCTTGTATATACAGGGGTGGCCAAAAAAAGAGACACTTGACTCCACATTTCAGACAGCATTAATCACACTTTGCTAAATCAAATCGACTGCCCCCAACTCAGTATTGAAGAGCACATTCTAATCTATCTAAAAGTTACATGACAGCCTTCTACACCGACGACATCAGAAGATTTTCCCACGGAAACATGGTTCACGGTACGAGCTCAACGAGGTCGTCGAGGTACCATAGACCATTACGACGTCCCTGAAACGCTGGTCAAAAGCGGTTTTGCATAGTCACAGCTAATGTCTCTGGGAAGCTATTCAACAGTTAATCCATTGAAGAAATTATGTAGCAGCTTCAGGCCGGAGCGATTACGGTAAGCCTCGTTGAGCTCGACGGTGACGGCAGATGACGTCATATTCTGAAGACGGCGGGGGTGTGAAGGAGGGCCTGCTTCTGTTTACGGGGGAACACCTAAGGAATATTCGCCGTAAAACTTTCATTAACATCGGCTCCCTGTGCGACGAAAAGTTCGATGATGTGCGCCATGGGCAAGTGTCTCTTTTTTTTGGCCACCCCTGTACATCGCCGTCCCTCACCTTTCCATCACCATGATTTTGAACTATTCGAGTTGTATTAGATGGATAGGTTGGTATTCGTTCGTGGAGGTGACGCTGTTACCGCTTGTTGAGTATCGAAATTATTCTTGCATCTTTCTGAGGTCTATTGTGTGGTCTGACCCATTGAGATGCTTCGACATTTCCAGTACTCAAGTCGGAGCGTAGTAGTGAAGTAATTTAAGAACACTAGCTAAGTACTCCAATTTGGTCACTCATTCTCTTTTTGTCCTTTTGGCTGACAAAATGCGAAGTGTCGGAATAGTAAGGCTAAAATGCTGTTGCATAATTTATCATTTATATCGACAATTCATTTAAGATGCTACAAGGGGGCGGTGACATCATCTGCTCCCGAATCGGTCGTACCTCAACAGCCCGTCGTACGGAACACGATCACCATACACAATAACTATGTGAACCACTGCCCAAATAATTGTTCACCGACATATAAGTATGTTGAATTTACGATATTATGTTAATCAGAACACTTTTCTGAAGTTATTCTGGAAGTTCCGTGCATCGAATCATCTCCGATTTCAGCACAATCCCGCCTGTACCTGTGCCTTCTCCGACGGAACAACCACGTACGGATCCGTTAGCTTTAGAATCGCTGGCATTCGATTTAGATGTTACCGACCCAGATCCGATCGTGTGCGATCCTAAGATCTTCGAAGATGCAGCCCCAGATGAAGAGCTTGACGATATCGTCATCTGCGTAGCACCAGCTTCTTGCTGCTCACCCGTTTTATCCGGCAAAAGTCATTCAGAACGCAGCCATTCGGATTACAGCATCTCTAACCGTAGCCATTCTGAACACAGTCATTCCGGCCATAGCCAATCTGCCCCTCTACCATCAGAAAGCCACAGTCATTCTATCAACAGTCCATCCCATAGCCATTCAAATCGTAGCCTGTCCTATCACGGCCAATTGGATCATCTGGACTATGAGCACGCCGAGGACGAAGGGGAACTATCATCAGCATCGACCCCGTCCGAGCCAGATCCGGTGGCGTATGAGATTCTTATGGAGTCCATGAAAGCTGAGGAGCCGTTGCGGTCAGAAAACGAGCAGCCTGGTCTTCCTGCGTCCGACATACTCTCCACCAATCCATTTTATTATCAGAAGCCGTCGTCAATAATTGAACGAGAAAGCACAGCACCTTGCGTTAGTCCAGAACCATCACAGTCATCTGGTGTGGAAGACGGCGAGCATTACAGGTATGTGGCGTCTTCTTAATCTTTCAGCATTTTTTTTATCATTTTGATCATTAGTAGACAGTGTGAATGAAAATTGGTCGCTCAAGTTCAACTGGAGGAATTCCAGGGCTTGCAATTTAAACATTTCTACTATCCTATTGCTAGTCACTATAAGAAATGTGGCTTTTCTAGATCCCCATAAGCGACATTTTTTGAACTCTTCTGCCTGTTTGAAGGCGGATTCTACGATGAAGTGGGAGTTCGAAGGGGGAATATACCTATTTGAAAAGCAGGCGGACCCCATAATGTGCAGGAAGGAAGCGGGTTTTGCAGCACAGGGTACGCCTCCAGCTGCCGAACGGGGTCATACCCGCGCCGCTGCCCGCTCGCCCCTTTGCCGTCTAACTCGAGCCGCGCTAACAGAGAGAGCGTCAGCGTTGAATTAGGTCTTGATCAGCACCTGAGACACACCTAACGCGTAAATCAAAGGGAAAAAGGGGTTCCATTCCGTGGTTTCCAAACCGTTTTTCTTACTCCCTTTCTTCATCCCTCCACCACTGACTACCTTTACCTTGGTTTTTAATGAGCCGTTTTTTTCATCGCAAACTCCGCCTTTAGAAACGCCTCTCGCGGTGAATTCAGGTGGATCAGTCCCTTTCGTGGCTAGGATTCAGTTTCCGACCAAAGTAGCAAATGTCCCGCGCTCACAGTTTTAAAACGCCCGACATGGGCGCTGAGCCATGCCAGCATACTTTTGTGTACTTCCACTGTTATTGGCGTTGGGACGATCTGCGCAGCGTGGCACCCTGCAGGTTGAATAACATTCCGAGGAAACCCCTGACCACGGCCCAGTACTGTGTAAGAATAGGGTCGAGAGCAGGGTGAAAATCGTGTCGAGGACGTGGTCGCAGAAGTACGACCCCCCACCCCCTGAAATCGAGGTCTTGGCACGACCCCCTAAACAGAGCATATGCAAAATCACAACAGCCGAGTGTATCGATCAACGGCCGATTCAACGGCAGCTGCGGCGCGATTTGTCCCTGAGTCAGATTTGCAGTAATCCCAAAAAAACTGAATAATATGAAAAAATTCTTCATTCCAGGGCAGACTTCACCTTTCCATACATCGATGCTGACAGCATTTCCTCACTGGTCGGTCACGACGATCTCAGACGACTTCGATCTGTAAGGAGGCCTGCAGAAAGTCCAGAAATTGCGGAGTCACAGAAGGATACGCCGCAGAAAGTGGCGGTAACGCCACAGCCGGTGATCCAAGAGGAGACAAAACCAGAAGACGAGATCGCAACTGAACAGGAGGCAGAGGTGAACGAGGTGAATGACCAAAGCGCGAATCAGCAAGAAAATCATGACGACGGCCACCAAAGTGACCAGCAGTCGCAAACACCACCACAACTAGAGGAGCAGCCCCAAAAACCTCAGGACGAGCATCTACAAGATCAGCGTCACGAAATCCAACTTCAAGAGCCGGTAAGTGTATGTTGGACGCGAGCTTTTCACACCTGTGTGCTTGCGAAGAGAGTACCGCTTTTAAAACCAGTCTAAAGTAATAGCTCACATTGCGGTGAATCATCGTCATGAAGCAGAATATAAGTTTCTTCGGAGCGCAAATAGTATTGAGACAAGCGTTAGGCCGATGTCAGACTTTGCGAATCGCGCGATTCGCTAGCGTCTGCGGTCGCGTCGCGGCCAGTGAATCACTCAATTGGCTGGTACCGCAACGCGACCGCGGACGCTAGCGAATCGCGCGATTCGCAAAGTCTGACATCGGCCATAAAGCAAAAGTGCAAACAGGGAACACACTGCCCATCAGGGGCCGGGTGCAGTAAGCCCCAACTCGGGCATGGATCCCCAAAGCTCTGCATATCTGGACGCTACTCTTATTCTTGACCGTGAAAGTTGCGTCAGTTGACTCAGGAGTTAAAGACGCAGCGCTTTGGGGACGCATCCCCGAGCTAGGCCTTGCTGCACTCTGCCCCAGATGTCTATGGATTCAATGATGTGTTACGAAATGTCCTTGCGCTACGTCTCACACGTCGCATGGCTCGCGAGATATTTGATTCGAGGTGGTTGCTCACCCTGGGAACATGCAAAATGACAAACAGGTGTAGTCAGCTGCTCGCCGCATGCGCTGGAGGCAGTAACGTGCGTGTTTGCTTGAATGAAACCAACTGAGCTCGCCTTTATACAAACTTCCCGCGATGTCGCGCGGTGAGCTTTACCCTTCTTAACATCAGTGAACCAGGTTGGTTTTCGTTAGTCGAGAAGAGAAGTCGAAGAACGAGAATAAGCTAAGTTAAAGCTGATCAAAGCCCGCGAATCATGACCCCCGTTTGCATTCTGGTGCTAGACGATTCTACATCAGGCTTACGTAGTCATTGTGAACGCATGTCGTGCTGTTTGCTGTGCGACCGCTGGTGTTTGCTGTTGACGGCTGAATCACAAGCGAAGTTGGGGTCGTCTTCTTACGGATAAACATAAAAGTCTACTGTAAGGTTTCATCTTGAATACGTCAAAATTGGCCCGTTGACAGTTTTTTTTTTCGAGTACCACCGAAAGAATTCCCTTCGTGCGTCGCTACTCCTTCAACGATCATAGCTCCTTCCATGGACAACTTCGTGAATGCTTATGAAGTCAACTGTGGACAGTTCTTTTTAGATAGTGAATTTTTGTGTTATTCTGAACAATCCTTCCCAGAGACCTCGCTCAGCTCAGGGACGCGCCATGCACTCGACATCCAGCGACAACCGGCACGAGTCCGCGATTACCATCCACTCCCAAGCAGGCCGCCGGTGCTCTACTCATCGCCGATCCGGTGCTTGCTACCCTCTTTACTCCCGCTGGACCTAATACGCCCTCCCTCGTCGAGGATTCATCAACGCAGTCTTTGAGCCCTTGCTTAAGCAGCGTCCTTCCCTATCTCCCTTCACGTAACAGAGCTAATTTCGTAATTTAAGCGCAGCAAGGTTTTTTATGATTGCGGGAATGACCTATTAGTTGTATCAAGTGAAAAAGAGCATCATTTTGCGATCGAGCAAATTGGCACAATTTTCAGATTCAAAGCACATCTTCTTGTGCGCCAACAACAATGGTGGAGACGTCTGAGGACATGAAGGTGCCGTTGATAGCAGTATCTCGTGTGGAAAGCGTAAAGACTGTCGAGGGAGCCGTTGGTCGCTTATTAACTGCCGTCCGTAGTCGATCGTTACGACGAAAGAAACCGAAACAAAAATCGGTAAGAGTAACAAGCTTGTTATCATAATGTATTGCATTAAGGTCTGTATCTTTCTATGTGATGCATGTTTCTTGATGGTCCTATTTCGTAGAGGACCGTGTTTCTCCGTAGTACATCTATCTCTACGTTTTCAGGGCGTTTTACAGGCTCTAAATCCGTTTAAGCAACGAGAGGTATGGTGGATTCTGACCAACTCTTCTAAATGAATTTCTGTCTCGTTTTTGACTGCTACAAAATATATCATCGGGCTGACATGATCTTAGCCATTTTTGTAGGCAGTAATCTTAATTGAAATAAGATTGGCAGTAGTGTAACGCATGCATCACCTTACGCATCAACCAACTCCCTTGGAGTCATAACGTCACGAAGGTACAGCCACTTACCGGCACTTAAAGCCACCCCTCGCAATAAGCTGAAATCGTTGAAATGAGAAAGTGGTGGTCCGGTATGGTACATTTGTGAGAAAACATAAGACGACACGGTGAAAACCCTGAGAAACGGGGTCTTCTTTCCACCTTCTGATTTCGAAAGTGCCCGAGGTTCTCAAGGTAGAGGCTGATAGGATGAGGTTAAGCACTCATTACATACCACAGGCCACCGACAGGCTAATGGCTGGTGCACCGATCAGGAAGTCTTTCAGTGTAAGGCAGCTTTCCAAAATACCACTTGCATGCTGTAGGGCTCTCACGCGGACTAAAAAACAGATTCATTTTCGCTGAGTGGCCCTATGAAAGCCAAAAAAGGATTTTAAATGTTTGGAATGGGAGGTTTATAGCGTTGAAGTGATCTGCGGAACATCTAGCGAAAAGTACGGTCCTGGTGATGAATATGACACCTATTTTTGACTCTGGCGCTATTTGAGGGAAATTTGGAAACTGCAACCTAAAATGCAAGATTTTGCCACCACACGGGATCGAGCTGTGGACAGTATTTGTTGTGTACATCCCTAAACGAGTCTTTATGATGGTATCTTTACCACTAGCCTTGCCGTTGCACGTTTTGTCATTGTTCAGAAGGCTAGAAGATTTGGTCCGAGCTTCTCGATTTGTTAGCTGCTCAATCATAAACCGCTTACAGCCTTCTCGACAATGTAGAACGTCGGAAACACTATCAAGTAGTCAGTAACGTGAGCCTGACCTACCGAAAAAGAAAGGAGTACTAGCTCACGTCCTGTGTTAGTTATGACGTCTGTGGAGCGAATGGTCCTCATTCAAATCTCACAGAGTAACACTATGACGCGAGTGAGGCTCGTTCGCTCAACGGATGTCATAACTAACACAGAGCGTAAGCTAGTGCTGCGTTCTTCTTCCATGTGCCAAACTTACGTTACTGAGTACCCGTTAGTATTCCCGACGTTCTATGACGTCGAGAACGCTACAAGCGGTTGATCGAGTAGCTAACGAATCAAAAGCTTCAGACATCTCCAGGCCTCTGAAGAAGACGAAGCGGTCGAAACGTAAGGCCAGTGAATAAAGATTCCATCTTAAAAACCTCGTTTGGCATACAGTACATAACAATTGCACTACATACGGCATCAAATGCCGACGTTTCAACAAAGGACGACAAGAACCTCGGGCCATTTCCGCAGCAATTTCTGGTTTTCTCGGCACCAGTTAGCGAAAATGGACATCGGTTCTGTAGTTTATACATAAGTTCCTACTAGATGAGGAAAGCTGTTCAAAAAAACGCTCCACACCCTGAAAGAGCTCCCTTGTTAGAAAAGAGGATCCCTGTCGCGAAATACGGAGTTGTGAAAATGGCAGAATCTGCTAGCGTACGTTCCGTTTTTCCTCACGAGCGGGCGGTGTTATAAGTAATCGTCGAATGTTCTTTTGAATTTCACATTGCCCCTTCGCCTCACTCATTAAGCTGGAAGGACCTGCCGACGTCCAGCTCAGTACTCAGTTTTACCAGTGAAAATACTGTCATTAGCTCCATTTCAAAGGCATCGAGACTATTGGCCTAAAGAGGTCTCATGCGCGAAACGCAAATGCGATTTATTGTTCGCCCGAAGAGAGCTCAGCTCCAATACCATCAATGGATTTAAAGAATCAGCATGGCGCCCATTCTGTCTGCCGAATTCACAGCATAACCTTTTATCGTGTTACATCCATCAATAGGATCAGAATAAAAAAGCTCCTTTCGCTAAGTTCCACCACTTGTCTATCAAAATCATGTCAGCCGATGTTAATAAGACGGGTGTAATCGTAGGATGAAACCTATTCCGTAGAATGTGTTGTGTGTCGTGTTTGGCCGCTTTGGGCACCGCTTCTTCCATTTTCACTATCTGTGACGTTTCAGGGAGTCTTACAGGCGTTGAATCCATTTAAGAAACGAGAGGTACTCGAGTGCGAGTGATTTGATGCTTCCATATTAATCGTGGTGACAGTCGTGGGCATGAGATTTAGGAGAGTAGATGGGAAAGGGGACGGAAGGAGGGCAATACATAGACTTCTTTGAAGGAGTCTCGCAAAAAGCCTATCACTTGTGCGCTCCAATCCTTTGGCAAGTTTCAAACGATTGTGCGTGCTTTCTCTTGAAAGCAAGAGTGAAGCCCAAATCGATTTATGACGATTCTGAGTTGGATGGAGATGTCCTGTTAAGGAGTAATTCACAATAAGGGTGGAGGTCTAAGAAAGGAGAAATTAGCACGAAAGCCAGGAAGGCTCTTCATGATGCGGGACGGTGTCGCAGCAAAGGGTGTTCCCCTATAGGTCTAGCAGGGCCATACCCGGTCGTGGTACACCCACGTGTCACCGTTCTAGCCGTTTGAAGAGAGCTACACCGACGAGACTCGCCCCAATGCGGGCAAAAAAAGGAGTCATGTTTCGGCCTAAAACCTGAGAAAGAGGACCACTTCTTTGTTCGCTGATTTTCGAAGGGACTCTCATCGGTGTTGCCTTCATTGAAGCCGAGGCTTTCTCTCTGTCGAATGGTTGAAGTTAGACGAGGAGAGTAGGCGGGCGCGGCGCTGGGTATGGCCGTGCTAGGCCGTTGAGCGCTCAGGAGGGGGGTCCCAATTTGGATTAGGTATTCCCTTCTTTGACTTGCGACCTTATCGTGGGCTCCTCCTTTTACCGAAAATCCGCAAGTTAAGGATGTCTTGGTTTGTATCTTTATGAGACTCCTGATCCTAATGCAGATGAGTTTCTGGTGCTGTGAGTTGCGATGGATGACGTTGGTCGCCATGATGATTCAGCTAGTCTAACCCTGCATTTTGTCTCATGAACACCGATGTTTGGATTTTTGGCCGCTCTACTATAAGTCTACCCTCACCAGTAGTCATCAGCGTTAAGCCTGATCACGGCTGGTGAGGGTAGGATTCGTATGTAAAACTTGTTGGTTCCATGCAAAATGTTGACAAAGCACTTGATCTTGCGACAGTCTGTCAGAATTGAAGTGAGCAGCCTGTCCTTACTGCAAGGCGGAGGAGTGTTTTATGACTCGGGCTATGGTAGGCTATTCGCAACTCCTAATTATTGTTTTACCTCTGGATAACACTGTCATTCCCACGACTGTCGTCAAAGCTGACAAAAAGACAACGCGTTCTGCTTTTGTTGTTCAAAGTGCTTAAGCTTGTGTGATATCGACTACATTCGATGTTTCGACAATAGACAGCCAATCGGTAAAGCTTCTGAAATTTAACCATTCCAACCAAGAGATGAGCTCACTCTTGTCAGCGCGGCATCAGTGGCATCAGGCACAGACATAGTCCATCTATACTGGCACTTTTGATTCTGTAATAGACACTTTCATAAAGTCTTAGAAGGGCAGCTCCTAAGAATGTCAATTTTCGAAGAACTTAATTTCAAAGACATTCTGGGGCGCTCGAAATTGTTTCTGCCCACACCTTTCAGTTTCTTTTATTTCATTTCACCCTGTAACCCACGCCCATGACTTCAGAATCGTAAGAACTACTGTAGGTGTACCCCGTATTACCTTGATGCCCACTTCCCATTCTCGCAACATCTCACGGCACCGCTTTCACTTAGCGTTAAACGATACTGACGGAAATCAGAAAATGCAGATAACCAGGGACTGGAGTGGAATTATATCATATGCACATTGCACCACAGCGCATCTTGTTAATAAGTGTTATGGATTGGCTTGATATTGATGAAACATGGCTTGTAGTGTAGAAGAAGCAGACCTACTAGTTTCAGGTTGGATACAAGTCTCGATCTGAGAATCGTGCTCGTAAGGCTCTACGCACGATCACCTTTATTCTGGGTGCTTTCATCGTGCTTTGGACGCCGTTCTATGTGCTGGCCACCATCTACGGATTTTGCGAGAGTTGTAAGAGCTCACCAGCTTTCAACATGTTATACTCGATCAGCTACTACCTGTGCTACATGAATTCGCCGCTGAATCCATTCTGCTATGCCATGGCTAATCAACAATTCAAAAAGACGCTCACACGCATATTCAAAGGCGACTTCAGACGTATGTAGGTGAGTAAAGAGGTAGACGACGCACAGGTCAAAGTTGATTTGAATCCTATATCGAATATTACTCCAAGGCCCGTCATGCTCGGTGAACTTGCAACAACTGCCCATGTAAGAAATATGGATCGATTGCAGCTGAGCATTTTCGCTCTGACCACCATATGTACACATGTAATTGTTGATAATGGCTTGCGAGTGACCCAAATCCGTGAATCGGTGACTCCAGCCAAAGCCAAATCGAATGTTGGCTAAAGTCAACCTTGCTTTGTGTGATTCCAAATTTCCACAACCTCTCCTCCCCCTTCGGCGGACCAACGCTTCTCTCGCCTTTCCTAGCTATGCATGTAATATTTGGATGTTTTATTCTTTTATGTCCAAAAAACTTATTTCCCTATGATATTCTCGCTTCTACATTGTGCGCTGTGCGTAAGAGCGCGTTATGTATACCCTTTTTCCGAAAACCAGATGCTCGTCGAGTCACCACGCAACTCAAGTGAGTATACGTCCTACACAAAATGTAAATGTTTTCGGGTCTATTCCAGTTAGGGGGGCATCATGATGCAGTTTCTCGGCGACTAGTGTGAACTCGAACATTCCAGCTTTTCACGCATGTCAAGTGACTGCCCTCACCCCCACCCCCGTAGACTGGCTACACTCCCCTGGCTCGGAGTTACCTAGCTTTCTGGAAAAACTGCATCATGATGCCATTTACCCTGAACCCTGAATCCCCCTTTGTTTGCTGTGGAGTCAAAAATTGAACTTTGTGTATGCGCTCACTTCTTCACTTGAAAATGTAAGCCTTTCTTTTGCTAGAATTTTCTGATTGTTCCAGAAGATCGCCGAATTCGTTGCACATT